AATTGAATTGAATCTTAACCACGTGCTTTCAAGTTTTCAGCTGCCTTGTCAAATTAAATTCAGTTCCCAAAAACTAATTTTAATTTTTCTGTACCGGTCGCTCTATTAAACTTTAAGTGCAATATTATCTAATCACATCAATCATTGCGTCAAACAATCAATAGTATAGTATAGTATAGTATCTTCGGCATTAAAGAATAGTCATGGATAGGCCTGTCGCCGATTCTTGTACTTTTCTTGACTAGACTGGCCTTTTGATCAAATCTCTTCAACTGACGGTAGATTTAAAATCGCTTCTGGATATCAGTTGTTCCGTAGGGTACGAGGCATTTTAAGACTAAACATATGCTCCTGCATGGCCTTGTCTAGTCTGTTCTTGAACGCGTTCATACTCGGAGCGTCAACAATATCTTCAGGGAGGCTGTTCCACATGTCAGTGACTCGAAGCGAGAAGAAATGCTGTCGCGTGGATAAGTTGCACCGCAGTTTTTTAGTTTATAGCTGTGGCCCCTGGTGTTGGTTCTTGTTTCAAATTCTAGTAATCCTTCTGGGACCTTGTACAAACCATTAGTATACTTGTATACTTCAATGATGTCACCACGCAGGCGACGATAACGGAGACTGGGAAGCTTCATAATATTCAATCTTTCTTCACAAGACTTGCCCTTTAATCCCGGAATTATCCTTGTTGCACGTCTTTGAACACTCCCAACTAAATTTTTGTCCTTTTCAAGTCTCGGTGACTACACAACGTTTCCAAACTCAAGGTTTGGAAACGTTGTCAGTGAGTGAAATTAGGAAATTTTCAGTGAAAACTTGTAAGTTTGCGACGTATTCATTGACACCAAATTCGATCAACTTAATTAGTTAATCACACATCCATTCTCACTTTTTAGTGTTCTTGCTCCGACATATTCAAATTTCCAAGCGGATTTCACTCTAGATTGAAATCCCTAACATATTGAGAGTTCAGGTCCTAGTGACCCATATCTATCCTCGTCGAAAATACCCCACCACCGGTGCAAATCTCCGACGCTCTGCGATTTGCTGGCGTAGCTCGAGTGAAGGACATGAGCTGGTCTGCTCAAACTGCTGGTGGGGTAATGACAAACATTTGCATAACAACTTAACAAGGCAGCGCTGCGGCCGACCCACCAGGAATCTTACTTTTAAAGTAACGGTTATTCAACATTATTTCCACGAAATGAACTCGAATCAACGTTTTTTTTATCTCATTTGCCTGATAAGACGCTGGCGGACAGCGGATGCATCTATATATCAGTGTCTCAAACAAAGCAATTCAGAAGTAGTGATCAATACATTTGTACTGAACAAAAAACGCAAAATTTAGTGTATTTATATAGTATGACCTAAATTATCAAACGCAGGCACCTATGAGCCATTGGCTTACAAAAGATTACTGAAAACTGATGTTTATCATTAATTTTCATTATTACCTTCAATATTCTTAAACATATTACGGTATACAGGGAAGCTAATTTCTTAGAACACGATTTTAGATTTTTCGTTCAAATTATACTTGTTTAAAATATTGAGTTCGTTGTTGCATTTTATCGGTTTCGACAATACTTTACCGGCATGAAATAAAGATGGAATTTGACCCCACGTTTTCTTGCCGAGCATTTCTAAGCTATCGAAACTACCATGTATAATAATAAATAAAACGCACACATATTCGAAATAATATCTCAAGATAACATTCTTCAACAGACATGAAACTTTAATAAAACGCCTAGCTAGAATGTTAAACCTGACTATAGATTTTATATTTAAATCCTGGAAGCAGAATCCGGGGATTTTATTGCGAACTGGAAACATGTCCATCAGAACGCGGGGTCACAGCTAGACCTGTAGCGTACCATTTTGATGCTCCTAAAAATAAGATCGTGCGCAATTAAAGAATTATTGCTCATAAAATATGGTTAATACATTTTTTAGCATATTTAGTCCTATCATTAGTAAGAACACAGCCTTACATGGGTGTGTTCTTAGTAAGTTTCGCAAAAAGTTGGACATGAACAGTTTTTACTGCAACCACCCTGTCCAAAGACTGAAGGCAAACCGGCTTGAATTTTTAATGATTCATATTTTATCAGTTTATTATTCTAGGCCAAAAATAGCAAGTAAAATGTCAACAGTATCAAAGTTTCCTTGCTAAATTCGTTAATTTGAAACCCCTTCTTTACAAAATTCTTCCTCGGTCTGTACAAGAGGAGCGCTCCAGTTAGGCAGGTCCGCTCCACCGAGCCACAAACGCTCTAACGTCTTCGATTGCTGGTTGATTGCGTCGTAATGTCTTTAATGACATTGAGTCGATGTCTAATGATTGCTGGGACTCAATTTAATGAATAATGATTTGCAATGTCGTTCGAAAAAATGCATTTTAACAGCGACCAAATAAAAAAAAAACGGAAATACTTCTGCTATAATTTTCCCGTAAAAACTTACGCTAACAAATAACAGGCAGGCAATGGTGATGTTATTCGCTGTTTTCCTGCGTGATTTTATTCCACGAAAACTTGACACGTCGATAGTAAATTATTGTTAACACTTTATACTTTAAAATATTTAGCTGTTTTCTTATTTCTAACAAATTTTGATACCCACTAATACTAGTGCTGGATGTGCACTTCCACGCTTTATAAATCGCAATCCAAAAGGAAAGCTTAAAATATCGACGTCGTTAAAAATTATAAAAAATTCATCGATATTGTGGTGGGAAGTGAGGTGCTAATCGTGCTATAGACATCTAAATAAATGTAAAATGAGAGTTCAATTCAAATTTCATTTCAATTCAAATTACTTTTCAATGCATTAATTGAAGTTATCGTGACCCAAAATGAAATAAGTGCAAAAAACAGTCACCCTTTCAGAAATAAAAACAATTTTAAGATTTTTTTCAGACCCTTGTAATCAAGGTTAAACTTGTAAGAAAAGCAGACTGGTTACCAGTTTTTCCCCGGTGTATTTTTGCGGTCGTTCCTGAGTGGCGGACGAATAAGTTGACGAATAAGAATAGTTGACGAATAAGTGATCGATTGAGGCGAATAATTGATCGCTTGCAGGAGGCGAATATTCGATCGTTTAATATATATGGCGAATATTGAATCAAGTGCAAGTGGCAAATAAGTGATCACTCGCACGTGGCGAATAATTGATCGTTTATGGATGGCGAATAATTAATCGTGTGTATGTGGCGAATAAATGATCGCTTGCCCGTGGCGAATAAGTGATCGCTTGCCCGTGGCGAATAATAAAAAAAAAATCCGAGCTGAGAATTAGACTTCCCTCAGTCGGACTCACAGAACATTAATTATTGTTAAAAGAAATGCAGTAATGAAGGTTTGGTCAATGCTCGTTCGATGCTTTATGAAAATTAGTGACAAATTCTGCATAAATTCAAAAATTCCAAATTGTATTAGATAAAGTGTGGGCTGTTTTTAAATTTATATGCAAAGTCAATTCTACTTTAGATTAGGAAATGACGGATTCGTTGCAACTTGTCATATGAACTAAGCATTTAAATCAAAGAAAACGCCAAAAAATTCATTTTGTCTGCAGTGAAAACTTATCGGAGTCCAGCTCCATCATCAGTACAAAAACTTCATTAGTACGATTTTGACCAAAATAGGACCTACAAATTGCCTGAGGAATGCAAAACCTATTGATTAACGGTTTCAAGTGGATACGAACTCAAAACATCGTTTCTCAGGTGACGTCATAGTTTAAAGAAGGTGACAGAGTACCACGGGTAGCTATCGCTATAAAAGTTTGACTGTTTGAAGATGGTATGAGATGAAAAGGAAATGGATGAGATGAAAAGTTATAAAGATGGTATGCTGCTAATCTATCCACCGCAGCTATTTATAACCGTCCAATTGTCGAACTCCGAAGAAGAGGATCAACAATGATTGAACGTAACCGATGACGTCAGCTCTAGGTACAAGAGCAGCCACTTAAAGTGCTACTTTCGAGGTGCTACTTCAAGATCCCGAATAAATGTATCGAACTGAAGCTCTAAACGCGTGCTGCGCCTAAGCTTTACCAGGATTTCTAAGTAGAAGCCGAGCCAACTGCCACAACCAAACATGATTGCGGCTGCATCTTTCCATCACAGAAGACCCGGTGCGGTACTCAATAGTAGATTAGTAGCTCTATCGTCCCCTTAGATAATATGATTATTAGAAATGATACATGAACGTGCGTTGAGGTACAATGCGGATCCTAGAACATCAAAGTTCCATGTGGTTTTTAGATATTATTTATTTATTTAAATCGTATTCTGTAGTTGAGTGTACCTTACCCAGATCTATTTAATTAGTTTGAGATTTCGATATTCTGAGAAATTTTTTATCACGAAATAGTGGAAGATATATAACATTAGGTCAATTTAATTCATATAATTTACAAAACAATATATAATCATAATTTAAATCAGAATTTGTAATATATATAATGCCTCTGAATCTAATAAATTGAAAATTTGATATTTATTCCCTCAAATAAGCTTATGCAAGATTTTCTGTTCAAAAATAAATCATTTTATTCGGCATATATTTATTTTCTAGCGACTTTTCTTGCTGAAATGAAGCGTTAGGCTTCAACTTCGAGGGTAAAATATTAGTCATTGATAAGTTTTCGAAGCTGAAACAATTTATATTGAAATTTAAAAACATCTTATGACCTTTTTTAATTAATCTAATTGCCTTGTTTCGCATAAATTCCTACATGTTCATGATAATCTTACCTTACCGAACGCAAGAGGGAAGTCCCTCATCAATGTATTCGGATTATGAATGAATTTAAGAAGTTGAAAACAAATTAATTGGGCCTTAAATTATTTCAGAATTCAACGTAATGATTGAAAACTGCGAAAAACGAGGCATTTATTAGTAATTTTTAAAATGTACCTATCTCGTATTTTTTAAAATGACCATTTGCTCTCTATCGTATGGCAACGTTTGTTATGCATTAGCGATACCGCCGCTTGAGTCTGTGTGGTGTGTTGAGAGTTGTGGCTTGTGAACCACAGTTCTTCTGCCATCTAACGTGAAGAGAAAATCTACCGCTATTCGAATTTCGAGGTAACGATGGTCGATGGATATATATTTTCAAACTGGTCCTTAATTGTGGTATAGAATTCAAATTATTAATTCCGAAAAACGAGTAAGTCGTAAAATCATCGAAAAATTAGTATGAGTTAGTTATTCATGCCGATGCCGTGATTTCAAACCAGCAGTTTTCAAGTAAAGTCTATTTAAGTCTTAAGAGAAAATTTCCAAAGTTAGCTCCCAATCTCGGCTAAATTTTGTTCATACATATCAATTAATTTGCCTGGCTTATAAGAGTTAAACTAAATTTTGCCATGAATATTGCACATGGCAAAGTGGTAGCCTAGATGCCTCATGCCGCAGATGGCAGCCCCAGGCTTGGTCGCAACTTGCAACTTAAATTTCCCCCTGTCAATTGCCGCCACTCAATTCCATCAATTTTTTGCATCATTTCATTACATCTAGTGACCTGGATGCAGTCCATAGGAGCAGATGGTAGATTTATCTGGAAAAAGAACTAAAATTCCTTGTTAAAAAAAACTCAACAACAAAAAAAATGAAAAAAAGTTTATATTGAGCCACATTAGCCTACTAGTCAGCAGTCACCTACTCACGGCAGGCATCGAATATATCTACTTGGCTGGAGAACGCTGGAGCTGGCCGGCAACAACAAAGTCCTTGGACACCCACCAGCAGGGTGGAATTCTAGAAATGGAAGTTCACTTATAAAAAAGCTTTCCACCCAAGGTGGAATGCTTTCCTTAGATACAGTGCTCTGCCAAGTGCCAGGACGAGCCGCGAGATTTCATACCTACTGAAATTATATGATATTAGAGCCGCGATATTTCAGACAAAAATCGGACTTTTCCAGACTAGATGAATTCGATACCTTGGCCAATGAAAGCCATTTACGAGCCGGCAGCCACAAACCTTTTACTAAGCCCCATACACGTGTTACTGATTACCCTAACCCTAATCTCTAATTTTACCCTTAAAACAGCCAACACTAACATTTGTCTTCACAGACTTCACTCAAGTGGCTACTGATGACGTGATAATGCAGTTTGACTGCTCTGATCAGTCTGATGTGACTGCAAGTCTGCAACTAGGCTATGCAATCTTTAAGGAAAGGTTATGATTGACTTGTTGTAATTATGTTGGATTGTTGTACAGGATATTTTGGCAAGATTGTCAAAGTATGGCGGCTTGCAGAAGTTGAAAATTTTATGAAACAATATGTTTGTGGACTGCGGAGTGCAAACCGCAATTTTTTCAAGCAAACAAAAATACATGACATTAGATTAGAGTTGCAAGATTTCATACCTACTGAAATTATATGATTTAGAGCCGCAATATTTCAGAAAAAGCAGGGCTTTTCCAGCCATTGTGGCAAAGCAGAGTTTTTTAGACTCTTCATAGTCCCTCAAGTTCATTTTTGAGTCCTATAAGTAGACCAGTAAAGTACTATCATGGATACCAGCATTATCTTACATAAGAAATTGGTTTAAGTCTTGAGTAAATGAGGAAATTAGAAATGTACTGATTCAAAAAAATCTCTGGTTTGTCACTATGTTTCCAGCCCTGACTTGTGGTAACTTGATCAGATCCTTAGGCTTATTTACTGTTTATTTTTGGTGTTTTACTTTTTTCAATAATTTTGTTTTTCATTCCAGATCTGTAGCCATGCCTCCAGTTGAAATTCAGTGGTGTGATCACTCAACTGTCTTGTTGGAGTATTTGCGACAGTTGTATGATGATGGTCGTTTTGTAGATGTTGGACTTGAATGTGAAGGCCGGCAGGTGAAAGCTCATAAAGCTGTCATATCGGCCTGCTCTCCATATTTGGAGGTAAGTTTTCCCCAAACTTGCCTTCTGAAAGAGATTTTGTGTCATCCATTGATTGTAATGTAACTCACTCCTGGTCTGAAAATTTAATGGATAGATGCTGGTGATATCTATTTATTAACTAAATTACTTAATTGTAGAAATTCTGTAGTGCAGAGGTTGTATTTCATGAGGGTGTTTCTCTAAACTTTTGATGCTGATTTGTAAATAAAATTTATGATGCTTGAAAATCTATTTCATTGAAGCATTGGACCTGAAATTATTCTTATTTAAAGTCTAGTTAGCACAACCATCTTTAAATCTTTGTAATATCTTGTCATGAAATCAGCTCATGCTTTCATCCAGCAATGCACTGACACTTTATCTCTGTCTGAGTGTTTATTTTCTTGTTAAGTTGCATTTCTCTTCAGAAGTATTGAATATATTTCATCCATTTAAATTTACTTGATTCTTTATGAGATCTGAAGTAGAGTTATTTCTTTATTATTAATGGGCTATTAATAAAAGTTCTTGACTTCAGTGTTTTCAATTTGTAATTACCTTGTTGCATGGCAATAAAATTCGCTGTTATCTTTCTTGTTGTGAAGTGAAAAAATTTGAAGTGATAGTAATGCTGAACTCACATTTGGTGTATCTAGATGGAGACTAATCAACAAGTTCACCACATAAATTATGTTATTGCTAAGTATCTCACTTCACTCTGGTCTGTACTTTAAAAATTCCTTGAGCATATATATATATAACCTCCAGAAATTAATATTTCATTATTGCCATCACTTAATTGAGATAACATTAAACTTGAGCTTATAATGATCAAGATGTTTAATGCATAACATAATGGTTTAATATTCTCTTCATATATTTACTAATGTGTTTGTGTGCCGACAGGGGCTTCTGAAGGGGAACCCTGCCCGCAGCCACCTCATCAAATTCAACGGCTACTCGTACAACAGTCTCAGGGCTGTGATAGACTTCATGTATAATGGTGAGATTATCTTACAAATTTTTGGTGAATATACAAGTGAAATGATAATAATGGTGAGATTATCAAAGCATGCTTATAAAGCCTTCAATATATTATCCATGCTTGCAGTGTGCAATAACTTGGAAACAATTTTGGTTAATTCAAGCATGAATTGTACTCGCTCAACAATTGCATAAATTGAGTAGTTCACAGTTATGGTCATTGAGATGCAATTATGACAAAGAAAGTTAAGCTTGTTGAAATGTTAATCTCCCGGAATGAATGAAAGTTTCTGTTCATTAAATAATCAAAGTGCCATGAAGGAAACTAATGCAACATATTTTTCTGCAGGGAAAGTTTTGGTGGAACAGGATCATTTGGCAGCATTCCTCAAACTTGGTCGAGCTCTGCAGGTGATTTGTTGATTAGACTTTACCCGAGGTTCCAGTTAATAATTTTTAATATATTCTTGAAATTCGCCTTGTCCTACATAAGTTTGTCCTTTATAAAAAAAAACAATTACATTTTAATTTAATATTTGTGCATTGACAATCATAAGCAAAAGCTGTTATAGTATCAGAGTTAAGTGTAGAATTACACAACTGTTCTGATGAAATTCAATGAGTAAATAAATGTTTGAAAGAAGCTTGCTTGTTTCCAGGTCCGCGGCATCCTCGATATTGCTGCTCAGTGCGAGGAAGCTGGGCTCACCACTGCAGAGGAAACTAAATGTCAGTGCTTATCTCACTCAATTTATCTTCATATTATAGTCACTAACTATTGTTTCCTAAAGAAATTCTATTTTTTGCTGAATATTAGGTAATGAGCTACAGGGTGACTCTGATCATTTTTACAACACTTCTCTTTAACTTCACTTCTTGTTTGTCTGTCTGTCTGTCTGCTACAAATCTTGTAATCAAAATTTAATACACTTCTACTTATCCTATCGATCTGAAATTTTGCACACTTGTGTAAAATTGGAGACAATGCATGATTTTAGTTTCTGATAAACTCAGGCTAGATGCATGAGACTACTTGCCTCATCCTTAGTTATACTTTTGATGCGTGGTTCATTCTCTGAGCACTGTGCCTATCAGCAATAGTTTCTAACATTATTCTAACTCTACATTTTTAGTAAGTTCATTCCCTCAGCACTGTGCCTATCATCAATAGTTTCTAACATTATTCGAAATCCTAGTCCATTTTAGGCTAATCATAATTTTTCAAAATCATGCTTGCCTATTCCCTCAAACATATTATTCTGTTTGTCTTTGATGTTGGAACAAACTTTCTGATCATCCTCATATTTTCTCAGCAACTATAATAAAGTAAATAATATTACTACGTGAAGCCTTCAGTATAGACTTATTTAGTTAACCTTTTTGAACTTATTCAATATAAAGAAGAATATTTGTTTGAAATTAGCCATTAAGTGCTTAAAGTTAGGTTCCATTTCGTTTCAATATATAGCTGGCTGCTGATTACTATAATTGCTTTAACATATAACTGCTTCCAATAAAAAACTGTGACTTTTTCAGCAAATGCACAGTACAGCACTACCGTGCAGTCTCAAAAACAGCAACAACAGCAGCAGCAACAACAACAGCAGCAACAACAGCAGGCTTCCGCAGGAGCGTTGAAGACGCAACAGTCCGCAGCCGAGACAAAGAAATATGCCTTCATGCTGGACAAGGCCAAGAAACAGCCTCAGCAAGTTGTCAGAAAACAAGGTTATTATCCTCAGCAGCTTATCTGGATGTCCAACAGCTGTTAGGCTTCTCGGTATATTTAGTAGCATACCAGATGCTGAAGAGATTAATTTTATAGAATAAGCTGATTCATCACCATATTTTCAACTGTAATGAAGATGTTGATCTGGTTCAAGTGTCTCCCAAGGTCTGACTCTCTTTGACTAGAAATAACCGTTATAATTAGTTCATACTCATCATGTACTGTAATTTTATTCTCGTTTTAATCAACAGATCAAACTAAGCAACAGCAAGTGCAGCAGCAACAGCAGCAACAACAGGTGCTACAACAGCAACAGATACAAGAACAACAAATCCAACAGCAACAACAGCAGGCATCTCAGCTTTCAGCAGCTGTGAGTTTTGAGCTCCTTCTGTTGTTGCAAAAAAATGGACAAGTCTCATCACTCTTTCAATTGTTAGCGAGATGTTCATGTACTCTTGTTAAAAATCATACTAAGATTATATCTTGACTCAATGAATAGTTGTACTACCTTTGAACAATATTGCGCCGGCCAGAAAATTCTGAGTGGCGAATTACAGCTAAAAATACCATGATATCTTGTGTATTTTTAAGAGGGAAAAGCATGGAAAAAATGCATCATTGACCACCATTCATTGCAGGATGGCATGCAAGAGGAGGATTCAAACACCATAGCAGAGCTGCAGGCAGCACTGGCATCTGGCCAGGCCTTGCTGCATGCTGATGGCTCAGGAGGGGGCGATACGCTGCAGATGATGGGGGGCCAGTGTGTGGTGACGGGGTCTGGCCAAACCTACGTTGTGGTGCAGGAGGGAGAAAATATCAGCTTTGTTCCTGCCGAGATGGTGCAGGGAGATCTACAGGCTGCGGTAAATGGTGCACAAGTGCGTTAATGCATGACCGGTGAGGTACTTATTATTGGGTGAGGTAACAAAACCTAGTTAATTTCTATGTTTTGCTCTAACGTATACCGAAGTTTTCTCCTCAATTGTTCAGTAATTCAGTGCTCTCGGTAATGCAGATAATAACTCCAGAAATGACAGACTTGTAACACTTTCCAGGGATTGCTTGACTGATTTCTACACGCAATTTTGTGTAGCATTCATTACGTAGTGTGTAGCCGGTTGATGCACAAAATGGAATGGCTATTCCAGCAAAGAATTCTACAAATTCATTATATAACTTATGTCAATTTGCTGTCACTTCACTTCAGTAAATTTATTTTACTACAACTACCGAGTACTTAGGATTCTCTCTTCGCAACCACTAAATTTTTACTGGTAGTGCAATCGCTGTATTGATTGTGTTGTGCAGGGTGAAGTAGAGGCTGGTGATGGAAGCGGTGGAGTTGTAACTGGCGAGTCATGTGCGGGTGAAGGTTCCCAGGAGGAGCTGGTGAGCTCGAGTGAGTTACAGCAGACGGATGCTGCTGCAGAAGACGAGGGCGAGTCGGCGCATGGTGGGGGGGATGCGGGCACCTTGGAGACCATGAGCGTCGTTGAGAGCCTCGTCAAGCTCGGGGAAAAACCAGATGATGCCGATGGCTGTGCTGATGCTTCCGAGGTATGAACATGATCGGAAAGTGGGCCTTGTGTGATGTTTCATTTTACCTCTATTCTTGAACATGTATTATTGATTCGTTGACAACATAATATTATTGGCCTTACTAAGAGCTTGGTCTAAAGAAAAAAGATAGGCCACTATTAAGGCTCTTTACACCCAAGAACAAAAGTAGATCAAGTTTGTAACAATGTTTCACGACATTAATTGGAAAATGTGATCATGACTTTTATTCATAAGTACTCTGGGTTTTGGTACTTGAATAATTTGTATTCAATATTAGTCAATCATTTCAAGTGTGATGTATTTTCGTATCCGACCAAACTGTACTTCATTAGAGTTTTTGAGGAGATCCAAGAAGTGCTAGAAATTCCTACAGATACTTCACTTTACAAAAACTCATCCTTCGCGTTTGCTATTCAGTGCACGGTCCTTGAATGTTACTTTTTGCACAACTATTTCGTTTGTTTCACTAATTTTCATATGTTAATATATATATAATGTTTGTCTTGCTGTTCGCATTCTTTTCATGTTAACCAAATTCCATTATACCAAAATAATTATTTTTACGGACAAATTCTGATTGCTGCATTATAAACATTATTTTGTACAATTTTTTGTAGGACGGTTTCCAGTTATTTTATATAATTTGTGCAATTTGTTTTTAATGACCCAATATGATGCATGGATTTTCTTTTAGATTATAACCTTGACTTGCGACTCCAGGATGGCATCCTCGTTCCTTGAGAATATCGAGTTTTTTTTCAAATTTAATTTGCTACAAATGTTTTATTTATGTTTTGTTTCGTTTAGCTGAATGCTCACTCGATGCCGTTGATAGACAGCGACCTGATGGACGTCACAAATGAGGTATTGCCATGTGCTTTATTTACTGTAGCTACTTCACTCATTTTAATCATTTCATTTTGTCTAGTTACTTCACTTTGTGTAGATACTTTATTTTGTGTATTTACTTTATTTTGAGCTTTGATGCCGGGGTCGATCGCGTAGCGTCAGTAGTTACTTTGTATTTAGTGTTGATTTGCTTGTGGTTTGCGATTCGTCTTTAGTATCATAGTTACCTAGTATGGTATTCTAGTAAGCCTGAATTATGTCCTGTAACATAAGGAGTTATTTGACGCTATAGTATTGCGTAGCTTGTAATTAAATCTCATTGCAAGTAGCAGATTGGCAAGGTTTCAATTCAAGTGGCCCGCGTGTCGCGTTTAAAAACTATTGTAACTAAAGTCGTTATATTGGCCTATAATTTTACGATTAGTTTGTCTTGGATTATGGTAATCTAATTCGTGTCTTTCACTACCCAATAGATGAATCGTGTTTTCTTGTTGAAATTTTTGGGATAGAACCGTGAACTGTAGGCTATTCTGTAAATTCTCTTGGGCTTTGTATCGACAGTGATGCGGGATTTGATTTTATATACGTATGTCCATATTTTACCTGAGGCTGTTCTGTAGAGTACATTTTGATTGTGGGTATTCAGCAGATTTGTGCCAGCATTATTCTTGGTAGAAGTTTTACGCCGCGCTTTTGCTTGCTATTGTGATGTGTCGAGTTTGTTTTTAGTAACTGATGATTACAGAAGTTAATCGTACGGGACGAAACGCTTTATGACTGTTCTAATATTTGCAAAAAAAAGTTGATCGTTCAACTACATCTGATATTTGCAACCAGAAAATTATTGAAGAATATTCGTTCGTTATTTCCTGACTCGTTGAGGTGACTGAACTGTGGTATGAATGCCCCCAGCTCTTGAGGAATGATGCGAGACTCAAACTTGATTCTATATTTTGAGTGATATATTTTCATTTTCTGTCCGTGCGTTTTTTTTAGACTTACCTACTTTTAATTCTTCTTAAGACGAGTGGAGACTCTCTGAAAATTTGCCTGCTCGTTTCTCCAATGATTATTTTTTATCTGATCCTTTGCCTGAACTTACTGAAGAGTTGGTACTTATTTTTAGTTTTTTTCATGAGCTTGCATGCTTTATTGTCCTTCAACTACCATACTTTACTGGATGATTCTATCTTTTATTGTTGAATCCTGTTGACATTTCTGAAATTTATTCTTGCCTGATTGCTCTTGACCGCGTTTCACATCTGACGTCATCCATACATTCCCTTGAATCGGTTTCCTTTGATCAGAAATGTTCAGGCATTCCGAGACGAGTACTGAAAACATTATTAAGTTGTACAATGCGATCTTCAGTGCATCGATATTAGCCTTATTCTCGCATGGTTTTGTACCGAGACCAATTATTGTTCCTTGTGCTCAACACCGGAACATAGGGCCTCGAGATGCGAAGTAAAATTGAGTGTTGTTTGGTGATGGAAATTAATGCAAGGGCGTTAGTGAACTGACGGAAATTAGTTTGTGAAAGTAATTCCAGGATTAAACGTAACGGAAAACGTCGTTACCGCGGTTAACTGTCATCATACCAACGCGATGTGAAGGTGAGTAGCGTAGCTCCAGTATGGGTGGGTTATTGCGAACTGGGTGTGCAGGATGGCGCTGACATGCCCGATCTCGGAGTGAACGCTTCCAAAGACGATGACGAAGGTGACGAAGACACGTGTGATGACGTCATGGATGGTAAAGATGACGACACGGCTGGCCAAAAATCAGGTGCCGCCGCCACGGCTTCCCCTTCTTCCAAGCGCCGTAATTCCAGGGAGTGGTCGCCTGCAGGTGAGACTTGTCCTATCCTCCTCCTCCTCCTGCCTCAGCAACCAACATCCGACGTCATCATTGAGTTTTTTATTACGTGTTTAGTTACGCTGCCCAGCGGCTGCCATAAGAAAGTCATACCGAAGGTCTGCTGGTCACTAGTCGTGAGATTGATATCTCGATACTTATTTTTAAATCTAGCTTCTAGATCAGAGTTTTTTTTTTTCATTCTATCTGAACTCCCGAACTAATGAAGTGGAACGCTGTGAATGTAAACACACGTCTTAATCTCGTATAACTTTTGGTGGTAGCAACTTTAAGTTTCATTTTTTTTGCGAAGTTTTATGTATTTGAGCTTCCAGTTTATGCTTCTGCTACTTATGTACAGTTTCACCTGAGCTTTAGCCTCACCCTCGTAGCCAGCATCCCTTGACACGTTAGCATCACCAATTTAACAACTCAAATTATTCGTCTGACATTTCATACAAAAGTTAATTATTTTCATAACATAGGGCCTAGTTAATTATTATCATAATTAACTTTTAAGTCATTTATTTAATTAAATTCTCTCTGCATTTGGAGGAACTGTCACTCTGGAACAGAGGTTGTCAACCTCCACTCATACGTGCGTAGCATTCCACATGAAATTAAGTTTCGAATGGCCAAAATATTACAGATCTCTTGCTACACTTAATGGAGATGCCACTTGTGTAGCTATTTTAATTTTGAATGCGGTGTAATACTTTTATCGTAAAAATTGGTTATCAGAAAATCCCTGATATTTTTCCGCAACATTGCCATAAGTTCCCTGAATAGTATTTCTCAAAATCTGTGTCCCGGTAGTCGATACTGACGTATCAGACCTCACTAATGCTACTGTAAATTTTATAAGACATGATTTCTGAAAAATTGTACGTACTGCAAATGGAAAACCGACCCCATGCGCTTGCTTGGTTGGAATACGCGGACATGATGTGACCGCAGATTGGTAAACAGTGTGCCTATAAGTCTTTCTTTTTATTTCATGGTTGCGTCTGTGGTCTTCGTGTGAATTATTTCTTCAATTCCTACCCTTCGACGACTTTTTTTTCCTGCACTTAGTTTCCAGTAGACGTTGATTTAACAATGCTGTTCAGTGTACATTTTTTATTTTTCTTATTTTTATTCAGCGTATAACATTACCACATATATTTCCTCTACATAGAGTAACCTTTGAGTGATTTCCTTCTTACACTCGCTGAAATAGACGTGCTGACGTGGCGTTCTAAGATCGGTAATGACTTGTCGCAATCGTCAGTATGTTTCACGAAATTTCAAAATTTTAAAACCATGCTCGACAACAACGCACACGTACAGGCACACGTACTACATAGAAGCTGAAAATTGTCTTTTTCCACCGTTTAAGCAGAATTTTTTGTAGTCTGAAGTAGCAACTAAATTTTAAGGCATGTAAATATTGATTTTGATCAGTTAGTGTTGCCAATTCGACGCCTTCCGAGTAGTTGTTAGTGCCATGCCTTTATTCAGTAGTAATATTGTGGCTTAGAATCTCCCAGTAGTTGCGTGATTCAATCAATGTCTTTGTCCCCGACTATGTGTGTTGTTGTATTTCACTGTGGAATTGTTTCGAGAAGCTAATTCATATTCTTGTCTGACGTTCAAAATAAAAACATGATTTACTTGGTTTTACGCATTCGATATTTTCCTGCCAATTATATCTAGTTTTTTCTTTACGATCGCTGTCCTTCCACCAATAGAGATTTAATCGCAAACTGCGCGTGTGGAGCTTTGGTTGCATCGCTACACGTATCAATACTGCTATAATTACGCACATGCTGCTGCACTGTAAACTTTTAGGTGTAAAACTCGCTCTAATGCTCGTCTTTTGTTTCCAGGAGTAAACAAGAAGGCCAAAGTGTAGATCATCGCTGCCACGCGCTGGTAAGTTGCTAACGCGTTTCCAAGTGATTTTATTATGTTTATGACCAATCTAGTTTTTTCTTTAAGGTCGCTGTCCTTCCACCAATAGAGATTTAATCGCAAACTGCGCGTGTGGAGCTTTGGTTGCATCGCTACACGTATCAATGCTGCTATAATTACGCACATGCTGCGGCACTGTAAACTTTTAGGTGTAAAACTCGCTCTAATGCTCGTCTTTTGTTTCCAGGAGTAAACAAGAAGGCCAAAGTGTAGATCATCGCTGCCGCGCGCTGGTAAGTTGCTAACGCGTTTCCAAGTGATTTTATTATGTTTATGACCACAATTTGTCCTCATTAGATTTGATGAACTCGCGGCTTTATAGCATTTATTTGTTGTTTTAAGTTTAACAAACCTAGTGTAGTTATATCCTATTTCATACCGACGGACATTGAAATGAACTTTTGTGTTGCAGGCTATAAATCAGTTTATGCATACAGTATACCTCCATACGACGCTGTCAATTACGGTAGGAAGAAAATAAATTTGTTGAATCAAAAAATCCTTCAAAATAGCACGACTAGAAAGAATCAAATATGGATAAATTGAGAACAGTTGAGCTCGGGTCCACACCATACTGCCGGGCATGTGCCAGGTCCAATATTCTTCAATGCATTTCCATAGAAGCATTCACACCAGCCGTTTAAGGCACCTGCCATGCCCATGGCGTGAAGGCTTCTATGCATTGAAGAATATTGGACTGGACCGTGAGTGGCATATGCCTAGCATACGCTTAGTAGTATAGTGAGAATCTGGCCTTAGGTACAGTGAGGACCTGGCCTTAGGTATAGTGAGGACCTGGCCTTGGTATAGTGGTTTGTCAAAATGTAAGAACGGAACAACTGTGGCCAGCAATAAACTTGATATTATTCCGTCTGCAGATGGAGGCTTGGAACGTCGGAACTGCACTACGTTACGAATTGAGTATGATTGCCGACGAGAACATCACTCCGGTCAGGAATTTAATAGGTGCAAAATATGGACGGTTATTTTTTTCGTATAATTTGTGTAGAATGAAGCTTTGTACACCGCTTAGATGAGAAGTCTTCTAGTTGAGAGAGCAACGTGAACACGGGCAGTAACTTCTATGAATTGATTGAATTTGGAATGCACAGTGTTTTCTATCTACAATTAATTCTATCACACCGGGGGTAACGAAATTATGAGTTTTAGAACCAGCAAGCGTCGTGGGTTAGATTGCTCGCTTCGTTGCATAGATGTTTATATTATATTTTTATTTTTATTAGTTGACTTGATCAAGCGCACGAATTGACTGCCCAATTCACAATTGATATCTACAAATTCTATTTGTAAAGCTAAGTCTTGTAATGGACGAAATGTTTCGACTTTAAGACAGATGTCGTCATTATCAGCAATCAACTTAATCATTAGTAGAAGTTGTTGTAACAATTTGTTTGACTTACAATTTTTTGACCATAATATTGCGTGCCAGCACGCCTCCGTGGCACTGAAACTTTCCCAATACCTCAAACGAAGGTATTTTAAGGCACCTTAAAATGTCTCTCAGCCAATTTCTGCAAATATATTACAGCGGAAATTGCGAAATTAAACCATTTTAGGGTGACTCTCCGAAATCCGAACGTCACGTTAAAAGAGTAGTTGACGGGTTGCAGCAGTCCACCATGTCGGCAGGGAGAAGGCAGATCTGTTCAGTGTAATGAGGCGATACTTGACGTCTTCTGTTATTCGATGTAGTGAAGTATAGCGTCGCTAATGGAATACTTAACGATTCATTACAAGACGATTGATCTCTTATTTTGCATGAGAGCAAAATATCGAACGGATAAGTTGAACAATAAATTCCAATGTCTTCTGTTGTTACTGCTCGGAAGGCTAAATTTTGTATTTCTTTTTTGTCGTAAGTTTAAAGAAGAAATTCAATATTGATTTAATCACCCATAATACGATTTTGAATGTACAAGGTATTGAAATAATCAAATTATAAATTTTATGGATTAAGACTTTACTTAGTACTTTAAAACGAAATTCGGATTAGACTTAGACTGATTGTTATAATCAGTGGAATTTTTGTTCCGTGTCCACAACTAATGTGACGTTCAATTCCAATTGTTCAATGTTGAGGCGTTGATAAATCTGTTGTTTCAAGTCGCAGGTAACTGACGGCGGCTCATAGCGCCCTGCGGTGTCCTTGAGACAAATATTTCAAGATATACATAATCTGAAGTTGTCAAGCGAAATTCAGGAACCATTAGACGAATGTTAATTGAATATTGAGAGCTAAATTGTCTTCTTATGTATCAATTGTAAGGCTTTCTATTCCATAAACAATATAGCAATGAAAGTTCAATTGATGTTCGGTGTTAGCATTAAGTTGTGTGACATTTTGAAACGAGTCTGTAAGCTGACAAATGTCGTCTGCGTAGTTGTAGCTGGTACGACGTTTCTTAGTTACTTGTTTTAAGTTTCCCATTTCTGAGTGATGTTAGACCTGACATTAAAGTGAACTAATTGGTCACTTTAGATTTTATCCTTTTTTATGTCAGCATTTCGCAACGCAAGTTCTACATAAGAAATTCCCCTACATACAGAATTCCTACGAGACATGATAATGAGTGTGACAAAGTTGACGTGTGAAAATGCATAGATTTAATCAAGTTGATGTGCAAATGAAACATTACTAATGATTTAAATTTTTAAAGGTAATATTCGAAGCTCACGACTAATGGCTGAACTAATCGTCGTCAAGCGACAAGAAAAAGTCCCTCTTCAATTTTACAAACAAACTAAAGAGAAAATTTTCCTATTGCAAATTCCAGCGAGAACGTTAACGAAGCCCAAAGGTAGCCGCAGCCCAGCAGAGCCAGAGACGCCCGTAGGATGCTCTGTGTCAGGATGGAGGGCGTAGGATGCTCGGTGGAGATAAAATCTTTTGGCTTATCCTTGACTCGCAATTTCTTGAGCATCGTCACGTGTACGACGTCGCCATGCCACTTGTGATATAAGCCCGCCTGTGTAATGGAGGGAATTAGAACCTGGGCCTCACGTACACAGTTAAGCATATAATTAACATTCATCGTTCATTATTTATATCATTGGTCACCACAATGAGGGATTGACTGCTTAAAAAAAACCTGCTGATAATTTTGAAAAAATTATCAAAAAATTAAGTTACTAATTTTCTTAAGTAAGCCACGCAAAAGAGATGAAAAGATCTGTGAAGTCGATGTGTTAAGCATTTGCTGCCGTATTTGATAGACTCGAGTTAATGGTTTATAACTGAATTTATAGGAAGTTGATGCTGCAAATTACGATTCAGGACAACAATTTTCCTGCCTCAACAGCTCTGTTGATGATGAGATCCATGCGAGGTTTGTAGGGCGCGTCGAGCGTCAGCGGCCACGCGAGGAGACCAAGGAAGGCGCCTTCACGTGCCACGTAGAGACACGTGTCGCCTTCAGCTGACGTGAACTTATCCGTGATGCCGTAGCTCAGGTAGATCCGGTCCTCAACTTGTGCACTCCTGTAATGTTGGTCCAGTAATGTCAATCTAATGATCTGTCTCTTATACACATCTAGATGTGTATAAGAGACAGGGTCTATTTAGTGAAGGAACTCCACCCCCCGCCCCCCATTAAAGCCCGAGATCTGTATAAGAGACAGTATGTANTTTAATTTCTTTTGATAGTATTTTTGAATACTATGCGTCTCTATACATAATTTAAATCACTTTTCCTGTTAAGTTTGTGTACTTACATACAATAAAATACGATTTTTCAAGTGTACGAATATTTATTTCCCCCCACTGTATAATAATGATTACATTTGCGTGTAATGATTACATTTGCGTGTAATGACAGCTACACTTGCAAAGAATTATAATTAAGTTCCGGTCACTAATGAAAAGGCGCCTTTCTTTCGAGTAGCAGTTACGGGGAGGAGCAGCACGCAGATTCCTCATTACAAGCCATCCCCAAATTGCATTTTTGCTGATAAATTTCGTGATTCATCACCGAATATCACCCAACTCGAGGAATTCATTGACTTTCCAAATGCGCAAATGGTTTACGAGTTACAAAACAAAGTCATGCGTTTGAAACCGGTAATAATAACAGTAATCCAGTACTAAGATACATTGTTCAACACAAAATATCGCCCCACTCAAAGAATACATGTATTTTCCAACTGCTCAGCGGTTGGTTGAATTGAACACATGTCTGCACAGTCGTTTCAGGATTGCATTTTTTTGTAACAATTTTCATGATTTCCGACTGGAAAAAGTTCCAGGTTATACCAGACCCTTTTCTGCACATCTTCCCCAAAACCTCTAGCGCCCGCACCTTTCTCACCTCCCCTAGCGCCAACCCCCACCTCTCCAGCACCACCACCTCCCCCAGCACCCAACGCACGATGCATACACGGAGAGGAAGTTATGATAATGTGAATATACGTAGATGCAAATTGCACAATATCTATTCAATATATTCTATTCAATTGTCATATAAAATTTTAAGAAAATTGTCGAAAAAAACGAATTCTGTGTTCTTAAATCAAGCCTGTTAAAATAAAAATAAAAAAAACTTGCAATTCTATATATGCGAATATCCGCTACATATATTGTATATATGCAAATTACACATTCACTACACACCTGACCCCGGAGCGCACGATGTCCTGCAGAGTGTGGAGGCGAGCAGGTCGCTGCGGGAGGGTAAGGCGTGCCGAGAAGCTCGACGAGTAAGCCGTCGTCAGGATAAGTGAACACAACAGCCAGCAGCACAGCAACAACTTCCCACCACCACTCCTGTCACTGGGCGCGCCTCCTGTACATTGAATTTTGACCACAAATACGTACAGACCAGGGAAAAAATATAACTCAGTACTCACTGCAGTGAGTGACAGAGCGCATTTTCTCGTTGACGAAAACGTGGTCACGGACGGACGGTCATTACGTCGATTACGAGCACAATAGCGCCTTTTTTCCATAAATGAGAAAATGCGCTAAAAATAACATAATAAAACAACAATATAAAAAATTACAGACCAGACAACTTAGTAAAATAAGATCTGCAGTAATTACAGTAAATCACCTGGGGTAGAACAAAAATACGACTCAACATAATATGATTTTGTAACAGATCGGCGGCTTACGAAGTCATCAGGGTTAAGTTGTCCGAACAAGCGCTCAGGAAAATTAATGGGTCGCATCGTCCAAATAGCGACATACTTTCTGCATACGACCTTATGCCTGGACAAACTGGGTCAGGATGGCCCACAAAACTGCAAATAATGCATCACTATTTGGACTAAGGTGCCCTAGCTTCCCTTGGCTAGGAGTCCGTTGAATGGTACGCTTGAAACCTTTAGGCAACGCGCTACTAATTCAACAGGAACTATTCAGTCCATTACGGGGTAAATAGCGTCAGAGGCGGAGCATAGAGGGAAACCATCCAAACAAGTCCTGCTACAAAAATTGTTCTTCAACTAAATTTTCCTGAAGTAGTGCAGTTGTAAGCTTTGGATAGTTTTCATGTTATGAACAGTGCCTGACAGTTCTTTAGTCGTGCATAGTTCTCAACAGTCAATGAGTTGTGCGTATAGTTCTAGGCAGTTCTTAATAAAAATTTATTCTCACCTTGCCCGAGGGTCGTGGCGAACATGATGAGGACGCGACCCCCCCACAGCCGGACGAAATCCAATGTACGAATGCGGAAAGAATTACGCTGAGCGCTACAAACAGATGCGGTCACGTTAGTGACATCAGCGTTATAGGCTTGGTTTATGATAACGGAAGTTGCACCGGCTTCGGGTGTTGCAGTTGATTTTCTGGCAGCGGCTGAGGCAGCAGCGGCAGCCAACAATGCCAGCAGAAGCCACTGCCACACGGTGGGCGTGAAGGCAGCAAAAAGCGTCAGCCAACTGGCTGACTCCTGAGGCTCAGCCAGCCCAAACGCCAGCGATGACACGTGATACACTGCACATCAATTATACTATATGGGTAGTACATTAACCATTAGGTACAATACACGTTAAGTACATTACGATGTAGTACGTAGCACATGTAGTAGACTGTGCGAGTGGTACACATTTTTTCAGATACGGAATGCAGAATACATTACCCTAACATTACCTACCAGAGTCATGGTTATAAGCTGCCTAATAAAGCAACTATCAAAACAAACTACCCAATTTTACCCAAGACTATCGCCATAAAAATCATCTCGAGACTCTTTACCCTATACTCTTTCTTTTATTAATTTTAGAAGGATTTATTTCTCATTCATTTTTTCCTTTGCTTCATTTTTCATTCATTTTATTCATTCATATTTTTCATTTCATTCTTCGTCATTCATCATTCTTCATTTTAGACAAACCTTAGAAGTGGTCGCACATAAATGACTCCTATAAGAAAGTCTACAATTCCTCAGTTCCGGTATTATCCTAAAATGTCCCTAGGAATTTGGGGTCTGCAGATCGCAACATATTTAATTGTTAACTTATTGAAGTGATTGAATTGCTGCTATTTTTCTGCGTGCCGGGACAGAGTAGGCGCTACAACGTGACCTGAGACTGTTTTTTCCAAAACACATACCAAGGATCGCGATCGAAGAAGAGATAACGCGCCTAGTGAGAGATGGATTACTTCTCAATAATCTGCTATAACGCACCGGCAAATACCAAGACTACTTAGGATCGAGATCAAAGACAGAGAACCCATCAAGTGGGAGAAGTAATTCTACTCGTCTAAGTCACAGAACGTACCGGTTGTTATCAAGGTTATACTAAGTATCTAAATCGAAAAAAAGAGAGAACGCGTCTAGTGAGAGAAGTAATACTACTCATTAAATTTTATTAAATTTAATCAAAATGACATAACGGACCGGTAGAGAAGTCGTGTAGTTGTAGACGGTCAGGGTAGATGTAATGCTCGACGCTCGTTAGGAGAGACTCCCTGCGCGACACTAGCTCGGCCGTCTGTATGTAAACATAATAGACAAACATTCATAATAATAATAAAAATAAATATTCATAATAATAAATACCGGTATTCATAATATTAATAAACATTCACAAGAAAAAATATTCAATCAAAATTCCCATTAAAGAGCTTGTAACGAATGTCTTTCCGTCTACCTGCATTTTTAAACTATCGATATAGCGACGTGTTGCATAGTTAAGCGTGTCAAGTTCATCCCTCACTGAAAGTCAAGCGATGATCACAGTAATGCTCAATTCAACGATGACTTTTGACTTGCCGAGAGGAAAAATTATTTGAAGAGCTTAGTCAACGTTAATAATCGGCGATACTTCCCAGCAACAATATCACAATAATTTATTACATTGCTTAAAAATGACGCCAGTAAGAAAACTCAGCTTATTTATTACTAACATGATAACATAACACCATCAATAATACAATGATGTACTTCATTCTTAACAAATGATGCGAAGAAGAAAACACTGATTGTTTCCTGCAACATTATCATGAACATTTTATCATTACGCCGTGAAACTC